GATAAAAACGAAATAGGGACTCAGGCCCAAGTTCACATATCAATTATTTAGGACCATCAGCTGTCGTCTTGCTGATCCTTATACTCCTCGCTTTCTCTGTGTACAAGTACATGAACAACCGTAGCCTCAGATTGTTGTCTTATCAACGGTGGCCTTGACAATGGCGGCGCTGAATTTTCTGGACTAGGCTCGGTCACCAATATACTGACGTCACTTCCGTCAGCTATGGGAAGTGATACCGGTTCCGGTAATGACGGTGATGTTCCTGTTGCTCCTATTGTTGCTGTTGCTGTTGTTGCTGTTGCTGTTGCTGCTGCTGTTGTTGTTGTTGTTGTTATTGTTGTCAATGGTACTGCTAGTGGACGTCGTCGAAGGCTACTGCAACGACGATTGAAGGCCTCCTTAATGTCCCGTTGGAGAGTGTTCAGGGACAATGTCGTACCGCTGGTACGTAGTGAACTTCGTTTCGAACTCGGCGGACTCAGGACGTCTTCGTCTGGATAAGTTTCCACGGCGTCCTGACGGCCCAACGTCGCACCGACCGATCTGCGCAATTTTTGTACTCTTTTTTTTTGTTGTTGTTTCTTTCTTTTTTTTTTTTTTGTTTTTTTTGTTTTGTTTTGTTTCGTTTTGTTTTAATTATACTCCTATTTTCTATCTCTTTTGAATTTTTTTTTTTTTTTTTTTTTAAATCGCGTTAACCTCCTCGTCAAAGTTGCACGATACTTCTTTTTAATCTTTTTCTAATCTTTTCGAACCGAACTAACGATTCAACTATGTGAAACGTGTAAAAAAAAATAAAACATATCTACTCTTTCAACATTTGTACTCACTACTAACTAGATAATCGATAATTGTTTCGTCAAACGAAAGCAACATTTTGTAACGTCGATTCGAAATGTTTATAATCTCTGTCTTCTCTTTTTTTTTTTTTTTTTTCTTTTTTTTCTTTTTTTTTCTCTCTTTTTTCTCTTTTTTTTTTACGTATACATACGTTTTAACGAAAGTTATTATTATTATTACTCTGATAACTAAGAAATTAATATTATAGTACATTACTATAGAAATTAATATATAGTACAATTTATTTATTTATATTATTGCTAATATAATTTATAATATATATGTATATATTTTTTTTTCTTTTTATTTTTTTTTTTTTAGTACAATTTTTTGTAATATAATTAATATCGATATAGAATTTTATATAATTCCTTGACAAAAAGAAATTTGATTTGTCTCGTCTAAATAGAAGCTCAAAAGATCGAATTATTTTATAAAACGAATAACTGATAAACATCGAATCGACGATTACGTATGCTACGTAGTCTCTCAAAAAAAAGAAAAAAAAAAATAAAAAAGAAAAAAAAATAAATAAAAATAAAAATAAAATGCTAAAGGTCATAATACGCAGCCAGGGAGAAAATCATGATATTTCTAATATCTTGCTATGTATATGTGTATATATATATATATATATATATATATATAATATATGCGATACTGCAAATTAAAAATGCCTTTTTACAAGGAAAATGTTTAAAAATAAAAAAAAAAAAAATAAAAAGAAAAGAAAGTAAAAAAAAAAATAATAAAAATTGAAGAATATTATCGATGACGTGTCGATTATCTAACGCACGTGATATATTGTACATACATTATACAGGGTGGTCCAAAAGTTCCAAGATAATTTTCAAAATCAATTGCAATTCTTCGATACTTCTTTTAATTTTAAACTTGCAACATTACGATGCTAATCGTCAAGTTGTTTTACAATCTCTGACGGAAAGAAGTAAAGAAAAGAAAAAAAAAAAAAAAAAAAAAATATAAAAAAGAAAAAATCAGCTCGAAGAGAGTCTCGTAAAATAAAGCAATTAATTCTCTTTATTTATCCTTTTTTTTTTCTCTTTTTTCTTTTTTTCCTTCTTTGAATTATCCAGGGACTTTCGGTTAACTCTGTATTTTTGAAAAAATTTTTATAACCTAATGAAGGACAAAACGATGGCTGAACGTGCAATAGAAACATCGTGCATCTAAATTCGACGTCATTGTCCGAGCGAATCATTATAATAACAATAATGATAATAATAATAATAATAATAATAATAATAACAATAATAATAATAATAATAATAATAATAATAATAATAATATAATAATATGGTTTGGTTCAAAATAGAAAAGATAAAAAAAAAAAAAGAGAAAAGAAATCAGAACTGTTCGACAAGACAGAATTTAATAAATGCATAATCTAAAAATGCTAAGAACGCAAGAAGGAAATAAAAAGGCAAAGAAAAAAAAGATTTGATGACTTCGTAACTATAACTCCCTGTTAAATTGGCCAAGCGTATTTTTACAGAGCTGAGAATGTCTAAGGAAAGAAGAAAAAAAGAAAAAAAAAAAAAAAAAAGGATCAACAAGAAAACTTTATTCAAAAAATCATATCTATGACAAATATTATCAACGATATATAATATATATATATATATATATATATATATATATATATATATATCATCTATCGAAGATAAAAAAATAACTTCGAATTGAAATCAACAGAGCTACGAAAATTTTCAACAGGTTTACCTCGTTTCTTTGCTCGTTTCTTTGCCTGAGGAGTTTTGAAATGAAAAAGATTAGATTAATTCATATATTTTTCTTTTTTTTTTTTCTTTTCTTTTCTTTATTCTTTCTTGTGTTTTTTTTTTTTTTTTTTTTTTTTTTTTTTCTTATGCCGACAAAAATTTTTCTATTCGCTTGTGTATCTACGATCGACAATAACGATGACAACGACGACGACAATGACGATAATTAGAAAAAAAAAATAAATAAATAAAAAAGAGACGAAATTAAATTACATTACGACGAACTCCTCAGGCCGATACTGAACTGTTGTTTCGAGAAGCATAAAAAAAAAAAAAAAAAAAGAAAAAAAAGGGATAAAAAAATAAGTAAACAATTTAATTGAAATATTCGTTCGTTAGGACGCCATTTAAGGGTCACACTTTGGGGGAAGGGATCGTTTGTCGAGTTAACCCTAGCTGTGTCTTTGACTATCAATTTTGACCTCGATTAAAACAATTTGCTCGTTGCACGATACATAATTTTATTTTCTTTTTTCTTTGAAAAAAAAAAAAAAAAAAAAAAAAAAAGAAAAAAAAGAACGACAAAATTCGAAATGCATTTTTCAAACCTACTGATTATTATTCCCGAGGTTAGAAAGAATATGCGGAATTTCTTTCTTCTTTTTCTTTTTTTTTCCTTTTTTCTTTCGAAATCAAAAATTATTCATTCCGTACGAGTGACAGCTGTTCAAAAAGTGTACGAAGTGTGACGCACAACTAGGATTAAATCTACAAAAAAATTTTTCCACCTTGGATTTAATACTTACGTATGAATCTATAAATGATAATACACACACACAAACACACGCACGCACGCACGCACGCACGCACACAGATTGGTAAAGATCAATAAAACCTTATAAAATAAATTCTAATAATTATTTTGTTTCCTTTTTCATTATGCGTTTTGTTTCACGTTTCTTTTTTTATTCTTTTCCAATTTTTTCTTTTCTTTATTTTTTTTTTCTTTTTTTTTTCTTTTTCTTTTTTAACCTATTAACCTTCGATGGATACGCTCGAAATAATCTCTTGAACGAAAAGATTTTTCGATCGATATTGAAAAGTATTAACCAAAGAGGGATATTAAAAGAAAAAGAAAAGGAAATAAGCGAATGGATGAGTAAAAGATTTTAGAGGAGAGAAAAAGAAAACGTAAAAAAAAAAAAAAAAAAAAAAAAAAAAAAAAAAAAAAAAAAAAAATAGGAAAACGAAAAAGAAAGAGAGGGGGAGAGAGAGAGAGAGAAAGAAGAAGAATAAATACTGACCTAACGGTAACGTGAGAATCAGATCCAGAACTTGACGCGGCCGATGGTTGTTCCGTGGTCGGTGAGGGACGGGACACGGTGAGGGCGGGGGGTTGCAGGTCCTCGTGGGTTCCCGTGGCGCCGGAGAGCAACAGCAAAGGTAAATTTGGAAATAGCCAAGCTGATGCTGTCCCGAGCTCACTGAGATCGCTGGCGTCGCTGGCCCTGGAGGACTTGCGGCTACTGGCCCGGCTACCTCTGTGTACGTGCAGCAGGGCCGACAGCTTTCCACCCCACCCACCCCCGCCCCTACCATCGCTCCCAACACCACCAGGACTCGATGTTTGCGTTTGCGAATCCACTTCTTGGGCAATCCTTTCACGTTCCTTCTTCATTCTAATTTTTATTCGATTAAAATATATTAACAGTTTACTATATTATTATTATTATTGTTATTATTATTATTTATATATATATATATATATATATATATATATATATATATATAGGAGTTATGGATTATTATTAGTTTAATGTGTGTGTATGATTTACAGATTGATTTTATTCGATCGATATTAATCCTTATTTGAAATTGCAATTATTTCAATTATTTCGATCGATTATCTATTACAGGAATGTAGAATTGAATTGAATTGAATTGAATTTTTTTTTTTTTTTTTTTTTTTTTTTTTAATAGATATTCATAATGCAAATACGTGCATAATGCTTTGGAATGTAATTTTTATCTGGAATTATTTTTTTTTTCCATTGACTCGTTTTATCAAACATATGATCATTAGTAATTACTGCGTAATTAATTTTTCTTTCTGACAAATTTTGAGTCGATTTATTTTTTTATTTTTAATTTCTTTTATTCGTCTACTCTCTCTCTCTCTCTCTCTCTCTCTCTATATATATATATATATTGTACTTTGATAATAATTTTATGATGTAACATTGTTTCACTAGAAATTCTTTTACATATATATGCACATACGATAAATATTAATTTTTTTTTTTCTTTTTTTTTTTTTTAGATCGTACTTGTTTCAACATTCCTAGTTGATTTTTTCTAATGTCATTAGGAAATGAACGACAATTTTCATGAAGTTGATTTATCAATAAAAAAATTCTTCCTCTTCGAAACGATTTCATTCTTTTCCTATTTTCTTTTTTCTTTTCTTCTTTTTTTTTTTTTATTTTTTATTTTCCTTATCTTTTAGTCAACTCCAAACCAAACCAAAAAAAAAAAAAAAAAAAAAGAAAGAAAAAAAAAAGAAAAAAAAGAATTAATATCGATCGAATTGTATAAAGATAGAAGAAAAGAGAAGAGAAGAAAAGAAAAGAAAGAAATAAAAGGAAAGAAAATCAAAGAAAACTTACGCGATAAATTCTCTAATCGTACGTTGAATAAGCCTGGCTGCCTTATCTTGTCGTTTCCAAATTCTCGTGGAAGACACTATTTCCAATTCCTTTCTAGTTGGGAATTGCTTCTTGAACTTAACGTCCATTTGTTCTTGAAGCTTACGAAAATCATCGGATTCTTCAACGTGTCCAAGAACGTGCTTGACAAGTGCGTGGAGGATGTCCAGACAATGGATCTTGTTACCCTTCGCGATGGGAAGATTAAAGCTTACCAACGCAACGACATTGGGCTTTGATATTCCCAGAGGTGGGTCTAGGCTCGCTATGAAGTCGCTTAATTGTGAGAAACTGATGAATTGGGTTGCATGCGGATCGTATCTGTAAATCAAAAGAGAGGAAGAAGAAGAAGAAGAAGAAGAAGAAGAAGAAGAAGAAAGAAAGAAAGTAAGAAAGAAAGAAAACAAATTAGATATAATTTTATTATGTGAAAAGGATATAGAAATATAAATAGTGATAGAGACGTTTATCTCTTTGAATTAATTGATTTAAATCTTTAATTGTTACACGTCTCAAAATAATTTCAAATCGTACAAATGACTCTACAGTGCCCTTTGAATAGCCGTCATTTCTATTGAGTGAATAATTTTTGACTTCAAAAAAAAAAAAAGAAGAAAAATACTGTGTAAAACGTATTTTCAAAAAGAAATTCACGAATCGTACAATGTGCTAATTGTTTCAATCGAGTTCGAAATTGATCGTTCTATATCCCATAGGTACAATTAGGGTTACAAAAAAAAATAAAAAATAAAAAAAAAGAAAGAGAGAGAGAGAGAGAAAGGAAAAAAGAAGAAATGCGTGCATACTTGGACCAACGTATGTAAAACATTTCTAGATCATCCTCGACGATACCAATTTCTTCCTCCTGATGAGCCTGATTAAAGTTCTCCAAAATGATAGCGATGTACATATTGATAACGATCATATAACTGATGATGATGAAAGAAGTGAAGTACGTTATTGCCAATAACGGATAACCACAATCGCCATTCATTTTCCTACTAGTTGGGGTTGGATCGCAATCAGGTGGTTGTACCATCAATGATTCCAATACGTCGTTCCAGCCGGCCGATGTCATCAAACGAAATAGTAATTGCATGCTACGGCCGAACGTTTCGAAATTGACCTAAAATCAAACAATTTTATTTTATTTTGTTTTACTGTTTTTCATTTTTTTTCATTTTCTTTTTTTCTTTTTTTTTTCAATTATCGTTCAATCCTCCAATCCGACAAATATAAAACTTCGTTCGTTGATATCGAATGATTTGTAAATGAAAGAACCGCGAACTTGGTCCTTATTATTTATTATTTTTCTTTTTTTTTTTTTTTTTTTAACGTTTCGTTTTGTTCATTCAAAATGGCATAATTGTTCTATTTCTCTTTTTTTATTTTTGTTCTTTTTTTCTTTCTTGTTTTTTTTTTTTTTTTTTTTTTTTTTTCCATTGTTTGAAACATTTTCATTCATAGTAAATATCTTTAGCTGTGAAATTCATCGATCATGGACGAGCTTAATAGGGGAAATAGATTGTTTCGAATTTTCGAAAAAAAAAAAATCTATGTTTAGCTATTCTTTTGTTTTTTTTTTTTTTTTTTTTTTTTTTCATTGTCATTACTTGTCGATAAACTCGAAAAAAATTTACTATCGAGACATTGTAAAACGTGGTTCAACAAAACTCCATTAATTATAAAATTTCTTTATAATTAATATGGATTATTTATAAAAAATCTTGATTGAGAAAAAAAAGGGAAGAAAGAAAGAAAGAAATTTCTACGATTTTTTTATAATGACGAATAAATCGAATCTCATGAAAATTGTCGTTCACTTTAGCGCCATTTATCTTAATTTCAATTCACATCTTCAATATTTCACAATTAATTAACACAGAGAAAGAGATAGATGGAGAAAGAGAGAGAGAGAGAGAGAGAGAGAGAGAGAGAGAGAGAGAGAGAGAGAGATGGTCGTCCATTCGATTGGAATCCTGATGAAAAAATTAATGCCATCTTTCAAAAAGACAAAAAAGAAACAAAAAAAAAAAGAAAAGAAAAAAACAAAAAAAAAGAAAAAAGAAAAATACTTTTCTACTCGCGGATCCACGAATTTTTTTCTTTCATTATTATCATCATTATTTTTCTTTCTCTCCATCTTTCTTAATAAATATCAAAATATTCTTTCGAATCATTTCGGTCCTCCCATCTCTCTTTTAAGACGATTAAAAAAGAAAGAAAAAGGGGAAAAAAAAATAAAAAAAAAAAAATAAAAAAAAAAAATAAAAGAAAAAAATTACAGAAAAAAAAAATTAGAGAAGAAGGAAAAAGGGAGAGGGAGGTAGACAAAAAAATACAAAAAATGAATTCCTCACCATATCATCCAAAGCTCCTTGTTTCCTGACGTGCCCAAATACGGACATACCAATGATGGCGTAGATGAACGTAATCAAGGCAAGTAAAGCTCCAATGTTGAATAATGCCGGAAGACTGACCACCAAAGCGAACAAAAGTTTACGAATACCCTTAGCGGCTTTAATGAGCCTTAAGATCCTACCAATTCTGAACACCCTCACCACCCGCAAGAGCGTCGGGGACACGGGAAAGTCCATCATAATATCTTCCATAAGTATTCCCAATATAGAAGCTAAGACGAGCAAGAAATCAAATAGATTCCACGGTACGGTGAAATAGTGATAACGTAATCCAATAATCTTGACTATTGCTTCCAAACCGAAGACAGTCGTGAAGAATGCATTAGACACCTCTAAGACGAAAAATATTGGATGTGGTTGATTGTAATGTTCGATTCCCATCGTCAGCATGTTCAGAAATATCAAAACGAAGATTGCTATTTCGAATCTGCAAATATATTAGATAAGTTTATTGAACGTATCAACGACGGCGAAATAAGAGGGAAAAATAAGAATGAAAGAAAGAATGAAAGAAAAATAAAAGCAATAATTAATGACAATAATAATAATAATAATAATAATAATAATAATAATAATAATGATAAATAAATAAAAATAAACAAATTTCAAATCTAATTGTCGTTCCTTCTCTCCTTCTATTTCGTCCTCTTCTTTTATTTTCTTACGCTGTACGTTTTAAGCAAGTGCTTCAAGCCAAAGCCAATATTTATAATATAGAATTCGTTTTGTTTTATTTCATTTTTTTTTTTTTTTATTTTCTTTTATTTTATTTTAAGATAATCACTTGAAGCTGCCGTCGCTCATTTTCATTCGCAAAGTGAATGAGTGTGATATCTTGAAAAGGTAAAAAAAAAAAAAAAAAAAAAAGCAAAAAAAAGAAAAAAAGGAAGAAGAAGAAGAAGAAGAAGAAGAAGAAGAAGAAGAAAAGGAGAACAAAGAACAAACATAAAATAATGAAAGCAGCTAAGCTCTCGTTCGTCCTTGTAAATCCAATCTTCGCTATCAGCAGAAGCGCGTTGCAGCTGTTCCTCCTTCCTTGTCTGTATTTTTTCGTATCTTTTTTATTTATTTATTCATTTGTTCTTTTTTTCTCTTTCTTTTTCTTTTTTGTTCTTTTTTTTTCTTTTTTTTTTTTCTTTTTTTTTTTTTACTTTTTTGGAATCTTGTCAAGCGAAATATAGAAGCGGCGAAGTTGCGAGTCGAAAATATTGAAGTGGTTGGCCGAAGAACTTTGATCATTCGTCTGACGAACGACGATAATCTTCGGCTCGCAAAACGTCCATCGTATGTTCCGCAAATAACGAGTTCCAAAAATATATATATATATATATGCGTGTGCGTGTACGTGTGCGTGTGCGTGTATGTATACAACAAACAATGAAAGCAAAAACATTGTTTATAAAAATTATTAATATTTATTTGATCAGTATTTTTATTAATTAATGTTAAAATATTTTGTAAAATAAACCTGTATACCTGTATATAAATATTTTTTGGGGATTCAATATTTATAATAAAATATCAGTAAAAATAATAAAAAATGTCATGGGTTAATATTTGCATCTGAGTTGCAAATTGAATTATATCTCCCGACAGATTTATTATAAATACTGATTATCTATATAAAACACCAATAGTATTTTTTCTTTCTTTATATATATATATATATATATATATATATATATATATATATATATTAATCGATATAATATTATTTAATATACCAATCGAAAATATTAAAAAATACTGAACGAATAAATGAATAAGCAAATTATAAATGTCTATCGACTCAATCATAGAATTTCTGTTTTCCTTTCTTTATATCTTTATTATTGCAAACTATTATTTTTATTTATATATCCATCTTTATATTTAGAATTAAACAATATTTATTTATTTATTTTTTAATTAAAATGAATCGTGCGATCGAGTAGACGACGAAATTGGCAAAAAATGATTTAAAATGGTTGACAAAAGTAAAAAGAGAGGTTAATAAAAAAAAAAAAAATGTATATAAATAAACATATAATACATGTGTGTGTGTGTATGTTTTATATGTATATATATATATATACATATAAAACAGAAAACATAAAACGAGTACATATGTGTTATTTTACCTTCGGGAATTGGACAGATCGTAGAACATTGCGAGGAATTGGTTGATCGGACGTTTTATTACTTTTTGCGGCTTTTTACGGCCGAGCTTTTTCATGGCAGTGTAGTAGTGTTTTTGACTCTCGGTCAAAAACATTTCTAGCACGCCACCTTCGTACTGAAATGAAAAAAAAAAAATATGTATACTTGATTAAATTAAAACCATCTTGAATATTCATCTTATGCCATTAAAAAGGTCTATGTATCTATCTATCTCTATACACACATATATATATATATATATATACATATATACAATATATATGTTTGTATATAATTCACTGAACTAATATATGTATATAAAAGAAATGAATAACCATTTAGCACTTTTCAAAAATTAATTAGAGATCTTGCGAGTTTATAAAAAGTGTATATTGAATAGAAAGAGACAGAGACAAAAAAGAGAGAGAGAGAGAGAGAGAGAGAGAGAGAGAGAAAATGTAAAAATACTAACACAATCTTACCTTCTTTTTTAACATGTTGAAATTATCTATAATAACTCCTATGAATAGATTCAATGTGAAAAAGGAGCCGCACACGATGAATATTACGAAATAAAGGTAAGCATATAGATTAGCTTCCCTTTGGGGTTGAAGATCTACACCCCTTGCATCAACGGCATCCTCCATTACTTCCATCCAACCTTCGAATGTTGCCACTTGAAACAATGCCAAGTAAGCAATACCAACGTGGTCGAATGTTATCTTACTATTCTCCCATGAATAATTTTTATTCAAGCAGTCGTCCTTCGTATTTACTATCTGAAAATAAAAGTAAACAAAAAAAAAAAGATAATAATAATAATAATAATAATAAATGCGTTTTTCGTTGGATGACATCGTTTCAAAAAAAAAAAAAAAAGAAAAAAAAAAGTTTCCAATGAAACTTCGTCAGAAATTTTTCGTCAAATTTGTTCAGAAAAAGTGTGAAAGAAAAAAACGGAGAAAAGAATAAAAAGTTCGTCGTTATTACTTACCGATATGTCCAATAATTCTCCATACTCGTCGACGCATTTGAAGAATTTACCGCCAAAAAATTGGACTCCCATTATCGAAAATATAAGCCAGAACACGAGACAGACGAGGAGCACGTTGAATATACTAGGTATCGCATACATCAACGCGTTCACTACGATCTATATGCAATGTTGAAAATATAACGATTAAAAGATTTTTCATTTTTTTTTTTTGTTGTTTTTTTATTTCTTTTTTTTTTTTTTAATTCATTACGATCATCACGAAAATTCGAATAGAACTGATGAATACGATCATTACTTTTATCTATAATATGTATAATAAATATATTCCAATGTATTGTAAATAAATTAATTAACATAGAATTGTTTTTATAACACAATCGATAAAAATAACTCGCAAAAAAAGGGAGAGAGAGAGAGAGAGAGAGAGAGAGAGAGAGAGAGAGAGAAAGAATAAATAAAAAGAAGAAGAAAATATTACGTAATATTTCTTTTGAAATTTTTTAGACGTAATAAATTGTTCAAATTGAAATTTTAAAATTTTATCTACTTTTATCTACTATTAAAAAATTATATCTACTTATATAACTTTTGTAAATATTTTATACATATTAGTAAACAATACCGCGTGATTATTTTTCATACTAAATTGTACAATCTATTTTTCCTTTTCTTTTTTTTTTTTAAATATCTTATATAATACATATATTATACAGTAATTCTTTTATATACTAAATACATTCTAATACGATAAATATGAAATATTTCAAATACAAATTTATAATATTATATTATATGTGCGCACGCGCGCGCGTGTGTGTGTGTGTGTATTTTTTCAATATTTTATATATAAACAAATAACACCGTTAATTCCTAAAGCTATATTATAAAATATTTCATTGTAATATATATAAAAAAAAAAGAAAAATAAATATATATATATTTACAATATCATAATTGATTATATTATTGAATTAGAATTAATATATGATAGTGACAAAAAAATTTCTATTAAAAAGTATCAAGATAATTAATGTACATGCACGTACATTAATATATAAATATTATATAATTGATTATATAATATTTATTAATACTCATGGTTATTTAATTAATCGATCGTTCAAATCTAATATATTTAAATTTAAACAAATTAAACATCACTCACGAATATGTAAGCAACACTTACCCTCATGCCTTGCCATCTTGATATCGCTCTTAAAGGCCTCAGTGCTCTCAGCGTTCTCAACGAGCGTAGTACCTTTAGATTTTCATTTTCTTCTATCAAAAGACTAAACATGGATACCTGTTGAAAAAAGAAACCTTGTGTGGTGAATTATTACAAAAAAAAAAAAAAAAGAAAAAAGAAAGAAAAAATTTCTCTCCTTCTTTTTTATCTCTTTTTCTTTTTTTATTTTTCTTGTTGTTTACTTTATTTTTATTTTTTTTCTTTTTTTCTTTTTTTAATTCGTTCCTCTCGAAAATAATATTTATGGCGTGCTAGCACGCAAATCGAATATTTTCAATGCAATTTTCTTCTTCTTTTTTTCTGCGTCTTTTTCCCTTTTTTGTTTTTTTTTTTTTTTTTTTTTTGTTTTTTTTTTCATCCGTTGCGAAACAACGCGACGAGAAATTTTACAAAAACGAAAAAGAATAAAAGTAGAACGAAAGGCAAGAGCTGATCAACCTATGAATTATTATTTACAAACGAACCAAAAAAAAAAAGAAAAAAAAGAAAAAAGGAAAAAGAAGAAAAAGAAACGAAAGGAAACAAAAAATACTTTATAATCATATTTACACGGGCGATGAAGGGAGGGGGAGATTGATGAGCCGCCAAAAGTAAGTCCTTAGATGTGCCCCCAAAAAAATTTATCCTGATATCAAAGAAAGAAAGAAAGAAGAAAAAAAAAAAAGAAAAAAAACTTTTCATCCTCACCGGTTTACAACAAGCTGGCGAGAAACAAGAAAAAAAAATTAGAAAAAAAAAAGAAAACGAAAAAAAAATGTTATCGTAAAAATTGACGAGATAATATGATCGATCGATTTTCAAAATTCGCTTAGATACTTTTCGAACCGCTTGAGAACTTTTTTGACCCACCATATAATATAATATTTCATTACGAATATAATCAGTCATTGCGTTAACGCAGTAATATATATATATATATATATATATATATATATATATATATATATATTTTTTTTTTTCTCCCCTTCAAAATAAATCGATCTTAATATTAATAGTATTGTTATTATTCATCATCGTCATTGTCATTATTATTATTTTTATTGTTGTTATTATTGTTGTTATTATTATTATTATTATTATTATTATTAAGTACAAAAGAAAAAAAGCAAACATATTGGCATAAAATAATAAAAATTTTTAACAAAAAGAGCTCCTTCTATATTTGCAAAGCTCGTCTCGGTAAAGCCCCATGGAAAATATATATATTTATTTTTCTTTTTTCCTTTTTTCTTCCATCATTCGAAGGAAAGCAATTTTTAAAACTCCCAAAGGCAATTGTACATATCATTGCCATACATTACCAGAGACGTTTGGATGAATGTAAATATGTAAAAAGCCACGTGAAGCGAACACTTAGGTATACGTATAAAGTTTAAATCAATAATGAAGAAAATACATATAAGAGAAATAGAGAGAGAGAGAGAGAGAGAGAAAGAAACATTACCATGCATATGTAACATGCATTTTGTTGATCTATCAAAATTCAAGAGAGAGAGAGAGAGAGAGAGAGAGAGAGAGAGAGAGAGAGAGAGAGAGAAAGGGAGGGAATAATAACAAAGAAAGAAATATAGAAAGAAAAGAAATATAGAAAAAAGAAAAATGTTTAATTATTTTTTGATAATGTGTACGAGAGCAAAAAAAACGTTATAGTTTGACGTACCTGTATCCACGAGGCAACACATAAAACACACAGAAAAGAGAACACCGAAACAACGTTTCAAATAGGTTAGCTTGTTTAAAATTTCTTTTGTCCATTTTTTCTTTTTTTTTTTCTATTCTTTTTTATTTTCTTTTTATTTTTTTTTTTTTAATTTTTTAATTTAATTCTTTTTTTTTTTTTTTTTTCTTATTATCGTTATTATTATTCTTTCGTCGATATATGCGTATATATATATATATACACAATATATGTACGTGTATATACGTATATATATATATATATACCTATCGGGTAGATATAGACAAATAGGATAAAATATAATATATGAATTAAATAAGCAAACAATTAATCGAAGAATTAAAAAACATCGATCGCTCTAACGATGAAAGAAATGAGTCATGCCACAATGACACAAGCTCATTTATGTGCGTTTCAGCTGTTTCATTTATTTATTTTTTTGTTTTTTTTTTCTTGCACACGCACATATATATATATATATATAGATGCGTGTGCGCGCGAGCGCGCGGGCGTGCATGTAAGAGAAATATTAAAAAAAAAATATATATATATAATACATATATTAAAAGTTTCGTTAGCGTAAGCTTCCAAAAAAAAAAAAAAAAAAAAAAAAAAAATACCAAAGATACACCACAAAAAACAAAAAAAAAAAAAAAAACAGAAAAAAAAGAAAAAACCTTCCTCAGCCTTCTAAATCATATTTCTATCGTTTTTTTTTTTTTTTTTACTTACGAAAACTATTATAAAATCCAGGATCGTCCAGAAACTGGTGAAGTATTTACAAAATCCTAATGCCAACCACTTTAATAGCATCTCGATGCTGAATAAAGCGCAGAAAGCTAGATTGGTCCAATAAAGGATTTTCTTTAGGAATGGATTGTCATCCAAATATATGTCTTCGAAGCAAAGCGTTATCGAGGATGCAAATATCAATACTAGGATCATCCATTCGAAGGCAGGTGTGTCGACAACAGAAAGTACAACAGTACGTATTCTTATCCATTTTCTTCCGATGTCGGTTACTAAGCAACGATTGATACAGCTACATCTGCAAACAAAAACAAAAAAGTAGGAAAAGAAGAAATTAGAGAGAGAATGTGTGAGAGAGAGAGAGAGAGAGAAAACAAAAAAAAATTAAATAAATAATATTCACATGGGTAACGCATATATGCGTTTAACTCGCATATCCGTTGAGTCATTTAGAATATGCAGGATGAACAATTTATCGTTCATCCATATACGATCTATCGTCGATCAATCCATCATCTTTCCTCTCACGTAATTTACTTAAGTTCATTAACGATTACTTACTTCAATCGTTTTCTGCTTTTTTTTTTCTTTTCTTTTCTTTTCTTTTCTTTTTTAGGACTGAAAAGTATTGTTGAGATTGAGAAGGACGGCATAGATATCATTGATCGAACGAGCGAGTAAGACAAAAAGTTCACGTGTGTGATTGAATTCGCGATGTGACTTTTTTGGCAAGCTCTACTTTCTAATGCATTGGTTGCATTTCCAGAAAAAAGAAAAAAAAAAAAAAAAGAAAATTAGAAAAACGAATATATCATACAAAATATAGCAGCTGTTCAGAAGACAAATCGATTTAATTCTACTTCTAGATTTTTTTTTCTTTTTTTTTTTTTAATTTAAATATCAAATCACTCGACGAAAGGGAGTCAAATAGATATTTTAAATTTCATTAACTCAACAATGCTCTAAATGTTAAAATCGTCGTTTCAATAATGCGATACAAATGTAACAGCAAGATCTTCGTAAATTGTTTATTTAAATTTATAATCATCACATTTCTTTTTTTTTTTTTTTTTTCTTTTATAGAGTTTATGGATTTAGCAAAGAAACGACTCACGCATACACATACACACATATATAAATATTCTTTGATTTTTGATCGAATTCGATACAATTGACGAGGCACAGAAATGCCAACGTAAAACAATTGGCACTTAATTGGCCAATCATTCGAATGCATTGATATTACGTAAAAATAATTAAATTATCATTTAGATTATCATTTGACCATTTCCTATAAGTCGAGACAAGAGAGAAAGAGATAGAAGATATCTATCAATTTAATCGATTTAGAATTTAATAAAATTATCGTATAGTATTGTACTTACTTTTGATAACAATGCTGAGGAAAACAATCCTGTGGTTCCTTTGGCTCTTTATTACGTCCAAACATTGGAAACGAGCCTATTCCGTCAATGTATCTACCTTTGCTATCTCTTCTACCACCGACGGTCAATTCGTCAACATAACTGACCAATGCGTGCCAAGGTCGTTTCTCTATTCTTTCCTCTTTACGTATTTGTTGAGAGGATGATTTTTCATCCGGTAACATAGCAACTTCCTCGTCCATTTTATTAGGATCCTTTAATACATCCATTTCTATAGTTTCCTCGACGTTAGATTCGTCATTGACAATAATTTCATCTCTCTCATTAATCCTTTTATTTTCCTTAACAGTCTCCTGACTACTTTGACTATAGGTAGTCAATGTTGCCTGACGATATATCGGTTCATACGTAAATACAGGTTGATTCAAGCTCTCCTGATAAGATCTATTATAAATATTGTCCTTTGGTAGGCTCAATACCGTCTCCTGTATAGCATATTTCTCTTTATCTGACTTATCCATAACCTCTCGCACTATCTGTTCCAATCTCATATTTTTTTCATTTTCCGAATTTTCCTTACGATATTTTTTCTTTTTAACAATCGAACGTATACGATCGAACGATCTCGCCAATTTCGAGTCCTCCCCGACTTCCTCCTTTTTTTGCTTCAATTCCTCCGAATTGAAGCTATTGAGTAACAGGGCCAAGAATAAATTGAGTACCATAAAATTTCCCATAACAAGAGCCGGTAAAAATATTGCGAAACATGTACCAGGACCATCCTCCTTTTCGGCACGCATACAATCCCATAATGGTTCGATCCATTCGCCGCACAATATACGAAATATCATCATGAACGAATGAAAGAAATCGTTGAAGTTCCAACGTGGCACAGGATCAGGATAAAATTTGTCCAATGTATAATCCTTACTGAATAATTGCATGCCGATAACGGCGAATATGTATATAACGATAACAAGGACAAAGGTCAGATTACCTAATGCACCGATCGTTGATATTATTATACTTAATAGGACCTTCATAGTTGTCCATGATTGTGCCAATTTCAATACCCTCAACAATCTTAATCCCCTTATAACTGATAAACCGTCGACCAATTCGAACGTCAAGTCGATCAACGAGGCCGATACTATGATCAAATCGAAATTGTTCCAACCGTTGTTAAAGAAATCTTTGCTAAGTGCTAACAATTTTAAAAAGCATTCGAACGTGAAAATACTCGTGAACACTTTGTTCCCGATGTTCAATGCCTGTCGTATCGACTCGCTCATACCGTGATGTTCCATCGCAAGAAAACCAGTGTTCAATACGATACATAGGGTGATCATCAATTCAAACAACGGATCTCTTACGACCTATAAAAAGAAAGAGAGAAAAAAGAAGGATTTGTTTCTTATTTTTTTATTTATTATTGTTGTTGTTGTTGTTGTTGTCGTTGTTGTTTGTTGTCATTGTGTTTATTTTATTTTCCCATCGAACGATCAAACGATAAAATATTTGCTATAATATTTTCCTCATTCTCTAGATATGTTACGTATGCGCGTGTGTACGTGTGTGTGTGTGTGTGTGTGTGTGTATACGTGTGAATATTTATTTTTACCTTATAAAGACAATTTTGAAAACGTAACCATCCCTCGTAGTCTACGCAACATTGAATACACCTCTCGCAGTTTCTATCTGGAAGATCGTCTGTAAAAAATAAAAAAAAAAAAAAAATAACATATAAATATATAAATATATGTGTGTGAAAAATATAAATATTTACGTATATGTGTGTGTATATACGTATATGGGTGTATGTATGTGTGTGTGTGTGTGTGTGGATTGATTTATAATTAATGTCGGAATATTTAACAGAGAGAATTCAGCTGAAACTCCCTAATTGATATAAAACCAACAAAAAAGAAAAAAAAAAAAAAAAAAGAAAAAAGAAAAAAAAAATCAATTATGCTTCTCTGAGACTTTTTTCCTATATAAGACCTTCCTATATATACGTAGAAACTTAAAATTATTCCATTATTCTATTTTATTTTTTTTTCTTTTTTTCTTTTTTTTTCTTTTCTTTTTTTTTTTTTTTTTTTTGTTTAGATCATAAAAAAGTTCCTAGACTTATGATTTTATGCCCTGAAAGAAGGAAAGAAAAGAAAAAAGAAAAGAAGAAAAGAAGAAGAGAAAAAAAAGGAATTTAAAGTAAAGAGTCTCGTAAAAGAGTAATTGATTTTTCAAACCATCTAGTGGACATTTAGGCGAACCTAGGAACTTTGGAAAAAATCCCATATTAAAAATATCGTCATTGTACGGTTCTTATGTATTATACAAATAATGAAATATTTAATTTTAATTCTTTGATCTACGTAATCGATCTCTCTCTCTCTCTCTCTCTCTCTCTCTCTCTCTTTCTCAGTGAAATTATATTTAATAAATAATACAACAAATTAGTGGTAAATTATTTTATTAAAAAAAAAATTCCCCTCGAAGTATACGTCAAAGTACATACATACGCATGTGTGTATGTATTGTTGTGCGTGAATTAGATGTATGATATTAAAATTAGAAAAAAATTCTATAGAATATTTTGCCCGTGAAAAAAAAAAAAAATCAACTAGAAATTCCGTTCGGATAAATAAAATCAATACGACATTATTTTTATTTTAAAAATATACTTTCGATGTATTTGTGTACACGTACATGTAAAAACATGAATATTTTAAAAGAATCTCGGATATCCTATTTAAAAAGATAAAATAAATTTTGCTTTGGATAAAATCCTCTCTCTCTCTCTCTCTCTCTCTCTCTCTCTCTAACTAACCCCATATGTATCATGTTTTTAATCTTTATCTCTTTTTTTTTTCTTTTGTGAAAAATAATGCAGATATATATATATATATATATATATATATATATATATATATATATAAAAGAAAAAAAATAAATAAATTGCAATAAAACGGATTAAAAACTAATTTAACTAATTTCATCTTATAATTTTTTTCTCGCGATCGTTATCAAAACTTATCTCGAAAAAAGTATGAGAAAGAAAAGAAAAACGAAAAAATAATATTAAAATTTTTTAAATTATATTAAACATTATCTTTGAATAAGATTCTATCCTAAAATTATATATATATATATATCATATTCTTAAAACAGGGTTAAAAAAAATAAAATGACCATTAGTTCTCATAATTAATTCTATTATCGGTTAGGACAGGATCATTAAAAAAAAAAAAAAGAAAAGATTTCGACAACAATTTAACACATAAAACTTTAAAACATAAAACTGCATATACTCATTTTTTTTCCAATTCCCACATCTCTTTTTTTATATATGTAATTATGTTGTATATAATAGAAAAAAAATCGGAATAAAATAAATTACAGTGCGCGAAGTATTAAAAACGAAATAAAAAGGAAAAAGAAAGAAAATAAAGACTAAAAGCAACCCTTGACCTAACTGATTATATTATTTCTCTTTCTCTTTCTCTCTCTCTCTCTCTCTCTCTCTCTCTCTCTCTCTCTCTCTCTCTTTCTCTTTCATCAAAACTTATTTTTCAAAAAATTTAAGATAGCCTACGTATAAAGAAAGAAGAAAAAAGGAAAAGGAAAATAAATGTAACCTTGAATGAAATCTTACAGAAAATTGCACATGCTTCTATTTCAAATCCATCCGTCTCTTTTTATATATATATATATATATATATATATATATATATATATATATATATATATGTATATATATATATATAAAATTATGTAGGAAAATAATTATATATAAAAGCGAAAAATTAATAAATAGAGTATAGTACTTGGAGCGTAGAAACGAAAGCAACAAAAAAAAAAGAAGGAAGAGGAAAAGAAAAAGCAACCCTTGATCCTCTCTAATTGATTAAAATATTTTTCTCTCTCGGCTGATTCCTGAAAAATATTTTTCAGAAATATTAGACGTCGCTTGTAAGAAAAAAAAAAAAAAAAGAAATAGTAAATAAATAAATATAAATAAATCAATAAATATAATACACACACACACACACACACACACACAATATACATATATATTATATCCAGAATCACGTTTATTTTTTATATTAAATATAATTGGCAATTATATATATATATATAATTATTAATTAATATTAATTTAAATAATTTAAATAATATTAACTAATAATTATGAAAATAATAAATATATATATATATATATATATATATATATATATAGTGTGTGTAATACATAAATAAATCTTACCTAAAACTACAATATACGACAGGTAATTAAATATAATTGAAATAATATTAATTAATAATTATAAAAATAATTAATATATATAAATATAAATATATGTAATATATAAATAAATCTTACCTAAAACTACAATATGCGACAGGTACTCTGGAGGCAGCGCGTACATATGTTTCTTCGTTTTGACGCCATTGCATTTGAGAACTCTGATCTCTCGACTGCTCGTTTTAACGGAAACGGTAACAGGTGCTGGTTGACAATCGGTACGAGTAGTGATATCTATTTTGGTTTCTTCATCCCCTTGATCCTGTTCCTGATCCTGATCCTGATCGTTATCGTTATTCTTATCCTTATCCTGACGTTCTACCCTATGTTCTCTCTGTTGATGTTCACGTTTCTCATGTTCTTCGGCGGATGTAACGTCGTCACCATCGTGATCATCGACAACACCAGAATCGTCTAATGACGATTGTTGATTACTATTGTTACTCGCCTGTCTCGAATGTAACATACCACGATTCGGTGCCAATCTATGAACCGTACTAGCTTCCGGTGGCCTTGGCGTTACATTTTGTAACGGAAGATGCGACGGTCTTACATTCGAGTGTCTTGGACTTGGACTTGGACTTGGTGTAACCGATCTGTTTACAATATATAACATTCGTATTGTCATTATCTATGAAACGATAAAAATAAATGAATAAATGAATAAATGAAGAAGAAAACATAAGACAAATGATCTTTCGTTCGTTCGATAGAACGAACGTAAAAAAGAAATGAACAAAAAATGAAATAAGGACTCGCGTAAGTTTGATGACGAGGAAGGTATTAATCCAAACGTTTTCTTTTTTCTTTACTTTCTTTACTTTCTTTACTTTCTTTTTTTTTTTTTGATGCGGCAAAACGTGTGCACGAGTGTGAAAGAATAATGTTCTGAAGTAGTAAAAAAGAAAAAAAAATAATAAAAAAGAAGAAGCAGAAGAAGAAGAAAAAAGAAAAAGAAAAAGGTTGACTAAAATTTTCGATTGGTAACGTATATGTACATATATATATATATATATATATATATATATATATATGTTTGTGTGTATGTATATATGTATGTATGTATGTATATATATGTATATATATACACATAAACGATGAAAACCTGCTACGTGCGCCACCATTTTTCTCTTGGCCCGCCGAACTCCTACCGCGTTTTCTTCTTCTCGTCTTCTTTCTCGTGTAACTGCTCAGTAATACTCCCTTCCTTGCGTCAATCTTTTTTTGCTTCTCTTTAGTGAGCGTCTTAATGTTGATCTTAGTCGGGTCGAAACTAAACGTCGAGTCCTCACGATGGTCGGTTAAATCCTTCCTTCGTTCCTAAAAAGATCAAAACGCGCTGAAATATTTTATTTTTATTCTTCTGATCTTTTATTTGTTTTTGTTTTCATTTTTCTTTTTTTCTTCTTTCTTTTCTTTTTTTCTTTTTCTTTTCTTTTTTTTTTAATATTTTTTTTCTTATAATTGCCAACTAACTGTTCAATATATACATATTTTTTTCTCTTTTTTTTTTTTTTTTCGTATAATCATCATTTAGATTTTATTTTAAAGCTTCAAAATTGATGGCCAGATTTGTGCATTGGAAGTAATCGTTTTGTTTGTTCTTTCATCTTTTTTTTATTTTTTTTTTATTTATTTTTATTTTTTTTTATTTATTTTTATTTCTTCTCTTTTTTATTTTTCTTTTTTTTTATTTTCTTCTTTTTTATTTTTTCTTTTAATTTTTTAACAGAAACAAAAAATAAGAAGATGAACAAGGAAAAAGAAACATCAAGGAATATATATATATATATATATATATATATGAATTAATTTTTGTAAGGAATGTATACATCGTATCAAAAAAAAAAAAAAAAAAAAATAAAAAAGAAAGGAAAATATAATAAGATTCGATGATTTACCTCGTTCGTAATTTCAGCCTCCTCCTCGTAGCTCAGTGCCACAACAGCCAACATCAAATTGATTAGATAAAATGAACCAAAAAACACGACCACCGTGAAGAACGAGACGCTAATAGGTCCGCACGCCGACAATACCTGTACGTTAATTAATACAATTTATTTTTAATTAATTATATGTTCGTTGATTGTAAAATGTCCGAATGGAAAAAGGAAAAAGAAAAAAAGAAAAAAGGAAGAAAAAAGATTTCGTTGTCATATACACTACGAGAACGTCATATATAATTCAGTTCATATTTTTCAATTTAGAGATTATTTTTTTTCTCTTTTTTTTATTTTTTTTATTTCTTTTTTTTTAAATATCGAACTCGTATATCTAATATACATTCACCGATACGTTTGTAATGCTAATATATTACAAAGAAAAAAAAAAGAAGAAAAAAAAAAATATTTAATATAATCTCTAAGAACAAAGAACATAAGTGTATTGCATTATTATGCCATATAAATAAATTGTAAAGAAATAATATTCTTTTTCTTCTTTTTTTTTTTTTTTTTTTTTTTTTTTTTTTTTTGTTTTTTTTTCCCCCGTTGGAAAACAAATAATGAAGGATCAACTTGAAAGAAAAAAAAAGAAAAATTACGACGTTGCCAAGGATTGATTGAGGATGGTACACGTGTAATGAAATAAAATTAAATTAAAAAAAAAAAAAAATAAAAAATAAAAAAAATAAAGAAAAAGTTAACAAAGGAAGACCTTGTTATAGACGTCCTCCCAATAATCCAACGTAATCAGCTGGAAGGTGGTTAGCATGGACCACAAGAAGTTATCGAAGTTGGTGTAACCGTGGTTTGGATTCGGGCCAACGCAAAGGCAGGTATAGCTCTCGTTACAGTGTCTGAAATTATACGATCTATAGATCTAAAGTTCGTTCCTCTTATTACGTGTATATAGAAATTGTCAAGAAAATTGTTTACTAAATATATTACCATGATACACCCGTTGACCGACGTTCGCAATTTTAAAAGGGGCGCGGGGTGGGCGGAGTGGGGGACTTTGAAATTGTCCAAATTTTCCCTTTAACCACTTCAAACTAACTTTTCATTTTATTTTCTTCTTTTTTTTTTCTTTTTCCTCGTCTAATTTTAAATTAACTCTACACTTCTACATTCCCATAACGACGATAATGAATATAATAATACTGTTTCGTTAATGTGATCGAAAGAAAAAAAAGAAAAAAAAAAAATAAATAAATAAATAAATAAATAGATGAAGTATTGAAAAAACAAAAAAAAAAAAAGAATATATATTTTACAGAAGGTTCGTACACTTCATTTAAAAAAAAGGAAAAAAAAAAAATATATATATATATATATAATTTTTATTTTCTAAAAAAAAAAAAGAAAAGTGATAATATTATATGAAATTAATATGATGATACAGTAGTAATGTTTAATCATGTATTATATTAATGACATACTACTAGATTGCTATTAGTATAGTAATAACAATCTAATAGTATATATCAAATACCATAGTAAAATATTATAGTATATCGTAGAACGTTATTATTAATATTATTAGTATAATACGTATACTATCAATAATATATAATACTTTGATAAAAAATATTAGAGTTAATATATTATTAATAACATAATATTATATATCACATACTAATGATAAATTAATAATAATATGGTACTATAGTATTATCTTACTATAATATAACACACTATATAAATAAATATATATTGAAAATAAAGTATGGAATTTCTCTTTTTCTTTTTCTTTTTCTTTTTCTTTTTCTTTTTTTTCTTTTTTCTCTATAACTCTTTCCGATCAAAAAAAAATAATACACGGGGAAGGATGAAGTTTCTTTTTTATGAGGAAGAAAAAAAAATTCAACCTTCAAAGGATTATACTTTTTCGTCCATTCCATTTCTCCTTTTGATCCCCTCCCGTCACCGTTCTTGATCCAAAAGATCGAAAAATGACTGTGGACGTCTTGTAAAAGTCGATGGTTGGCTTATAAAAGCCAACGATATCCAACTTATATCTTGTTGGGCTTATCTCAAGGGTCTCTTGATGATAGGATAAAGACGGAAATATACTAACCTGGCGCCGGTTACATTGCCGCAGATGATTGGCTCTTCGTACTCGTTGAAAGCCCAATTGGATGAATTCCAAGTCCACCTGTTGGAAGTATTACGTAAAAATTTCTTTTAAATACTTTCAATGACGGAATGATATAACATTTATTAAAATTAAATTATCTGACGATTCTGACGATATTCGTAAGATAATTTAATGATTTCAAATGAAAAATTCAATAATATCATTCTCAATCTCTCGTTCTCACGTACTCGTTTTCATCCACAAATTTATTTCCCCTCCCCCCCCCCCCATAATAATTATTTCGCACTATATTATTGTTTGTTTATTTGTTTTTTTTTTTCTTTTATATCTTTCGATCAAATTCCTTTTATCAATCAAATAATAAAGTATTTCGATTAACTAAATAAATAATCGGCCATCGTATAAGTATATAAATATTTTCGAATTTCATTAATTACATATAATAACGCGAATATGATATTACAACAAATATGATTGGTCGATTGATATGATTATGCGACGAGAATTTATATTATGAATATTTATCAAACGTTTATATCAATATTATTACGATATTATTATATTTAAATGGATTTCGATTGAATCGATCGACTGACGCGATTCATGCTTTTGTTTTGTTTTATTTTCTTTTTTTTTTTTCTTTTCTTTTTGCTCTCTTTTTTTTTCTTTCCTTTTCTTTTCTTTTCCTTTTTCATTTTTCTTTCCCACTTCATCAATCAGTTTAATAACGATCGCTTTATATATTATCTATATGATATATTATTTATATAATATTGACGATCTATTTATTTGAAATATCGATTTTTTTTTAATTTTATTTAATATATATATATATATATATATATATATATATATATATATATATATCGAATATAAGCAACGAAAGAGCAGCGATAATTAGTACAAAACTATTTATAGATAAAACATGTATATTATTGAACATTCGATTTATTAACGTTCTATTTAATCGATATTATCATGGAAGAAAATTTAATAAATCAAAATGATATTCTCGATGTCAGAAGGATAATTAAATTACTGGTTACGTGCCTTTTATTTAATTCACGATAACAGGAATGTTATTAATCAAAAGTGACATATGTTAATATACTTATATATGCATTTATTTTGTTTATATATATATATATATATAAATTTTTAAGTTATTTTAAAAATCAATTTCATCTCTTTTCAAGAATCTTTATGGACTAATATTATTTTTGCTTTTTCTTATTTTTTTCAATTTGTAAAATTACAAGCCTAGAAACCTTTGATCTACCATCTTTACATATATATATATATATATATATATATATATATATATATATATTGTTTGTATATTTGACAAATAGTCCAAGTTTCATTGCTTTGTTCTTGTTGTTGTATTGTGTGAGTAAATTAATAGTTTCGCAGCTTAGCCACTTAACCAAAGGCTATATGTACATAAATACATACATACATATATATATATGTGTGTGTGTATGTGTTCGTGTATTTGTATGTATATATATATATATATATATATATATATATATATATATATATATAGATCAAGGAGAATGGCCACCATTAATGAATTTCTAAGGGTCAGTTTTGTTCAAAGTAGCTTCGTACCAGAGATTAGAAGACTATGTTTACTAAATAAATATCCTTATGTTTAGAATAATCCATAAACAAATAGAGAATATGTTAGATCGAATTTAGTTGACCCAACACTGAGAAATTAATATCCTTTACTATAGGAAAATTATTTCGTAATGTTAACTATGAATTCTTATCATGATCTCACATAACTATACAAGAAAAAAAAAAAAATATATATATATATGTGTGTGTATATATATAAAAAAAATTATATATGCAATAGATGAATTCAATTGGAATAATAATGATTTAGATTTGATATCGATCGAAATTATCGAACAAATTTTTTCTTTCGATTTTTCTTTTCTTTTTCTTTTTTCTTTATTTTTTTTTTTTTTTTTTTTTTTTTTTTTTTTTTTTCATATTTCTCGACATCGCTTTAGACAAAGATCATATATACATATATATTAATTTTTTTCTTCTTTATTTATATGATATCAATATGATACAATAATAAAATTTATAATTAATAAAACTTACTCGATCCAATCGATCTGGGTGTCATTCGGTTCTTGATGTCTCACGCATTTGTTCCTAAGTTCACCCATGTAAACTTGGAGAGCAAATAGGGCAAAAACCATAAGGCAGAAGATCGTCAGTGTCATTACCTCGGCTAGTTGTTTGAAGCTGTGCAAGAGCGCATTAATAATAGTCTTTAAGCCTGTAACATAAGATATAATAATAAAATTATCACAGTATTAAATTTTAATATCTGAACATTCCAATTTTACGTACATACATTTCTCATACATTTACATACATGCATATATATATATATATATATATATATATATATATAATCGAGTTTTCATCTTTCCTTTTCACTCCAATAATTATGCCGTCACTGACACGTTTTGATTAATCGATTCACTTAGAAAATACCTTTTGCGATTCGACGAAGGAGAACAAAGAAAAACTGAATGAGGGAGAGGAGGACAGGCGATGCAAGCAGAGAAAGAGGAAGAATGAGGTTGATGGTTCGTGGGGAGGAGTGGGGTAAGAGTTGGATGATGATCGAGAACTCGATCGAAATTAATCGTTTCATTATAAAGTCAGGATGAAGTATCTAAGAAGACGATGAAAACTTCGTTCAAACTACATTCTTTCTTTCTCTCTCTTTCTCTCACTTTCTCTATCTCTCTCTATCTCTCTCTCTCTCTCTCTCTCTCTCTCTCTCTCTCTTTCTATTTCATCGACTTTATCTCTTTTTCACTTCAGTGAAGACGATATTTCATTATTTGCACGATTATCGTAAGGAAATCCAATATGGAGAATTTCTTAAAGAACATTAATATCCGATGGATAATAATTGAAATCTTTTTTCTTTAACGTGTGCGTATAATTAAATTTCATTTGGATGAAGCGGCGATGATTTTTGAAAGGATGTTTATAATAAAAAAAAAAAAAAAAAAAAAGAAAAGAAAAAGAAGAGAATACACACGCATATGTACAATGTGTACATTAAGGAAAGAAAATTTACGAAACACTTATGTTCGACACATTGAAAACAATTTGTACATATGCGTTTTGTTGAATATGCACGAGAGAGAGAAAAAAAAAAGAAAAAAGAAAAAACAAAAATAAAAACGAAAAAAAAAAAAAAATAC